ATGAACTGTTTCCATTGTTGGTGTAAAATGGCTCTTTTCATAATTTATTAGAAATCCAGAGGTCTCTAAATCAGAAATTGTCAATTTCAGGTCATGTATCAGTTTCTGTCCCAACTCCACTTTCAGGAAGATGTCATCCAGAAAAGGAAATAAATGAATTTCTTGTTGATGATAAGCTATCAAGGGAACCAATATCTTCGTAAATATTTTTGGTGCTGAAACCAATCCAAATGTTCCCCCGCATATCAAAATCTCAAATACTTCTGTGCTTTTTTAAAAATCATGTCGGAAACCATTTGAGAAACAGCAAGTCGCTTCTGGTATGAAAAAATTGGCCGTTTGCTAGGAGGTTGCCCAGGGGATGCCTGGATGTTTTACAATCCTGTGGGAGGCTTCTCTCATGTCCTTGCATAGGAAGCTGGAGCTGACAGACAGGAGCTTATCCCATCTCACAGGTTCAAACCACTGACCTTCGGGTCAGCAGTTCATCCGGCACAAGCATTTAACCCATTGTGCCACTGCAGCTCCACAACCATCAGAACATGAAGGTATGCGTCTTTTAAATCTATAAATACCATAAGGTCATTTTTTTGCAAAGATTTCCTTTATAGTCTGCAGAGTTTTATTTTGAATCTCAAGTTATCTCACAAACTAATTTAGATATCTGAGAGTCAAAACCAATCAAGGTGTACCATTGCTCTTCAACATGGTGAAGTATACCAAGTAAATTGAGAACTTCTGATCATTTGGTACTCCTTTGACTGTCCCAGTGTTTATCAGTTGTAATTCCTGCATTGCCACTAATCTCTTGTATGACCTCCTTGTGAATTCTCCACACACAAAAAAGCTCAATTCATTTTTTTTGCATTGTTGATACAATCTGTCTCTTTTCTCTATTCTCAGCCAAAATATTTTCCAATGTTTCTTCCTCAAATAATGTAAAAGGGACAAATACCAAATAATTACATGACTTACTTTCCACATCTCAATGCCTTAGCCATAATGACCTTTATTAAAGAATCACATGTAGCATCCACTGTAAACTCCAGTATACTTTGTTATCCTATCTATTCAAACTTTGCAAACTTATGTCCTATCCCTCCAATATTTTCTGGATCCAAAGCATTATTGCTCTTAAAAACAAAAATGACCTTATCATCAGAGCTGATGCGGCCTTGTGTGCTTCTTTGAGAGAGAAAGAATGCGAACTACTGCTGATCGAGATGCTACATGGAAGCCATGTGTGGTGGATCACTCCTTGTGCCATCCTGATAATCGTGCTCTGTTTCTACCGAGGAGTAGGGGCAAACTCCACAATGCTCTGATTAGACAGAATGTTCTGAAAATAATGTACAGTTGTTATCACTGCTAGCTATTGTGTATACCATGACATTAATGAGCATGTTCCAGTGATTTTTGAACCTGAACTGCATGACTGGTCTTCAAAAAGGCAATGCTTGATTTGTTTTGGTTGTGAAAGACTGAAATGGAGTCAAGATCCAGCTATTTAGGTTGAAAAAAATGTAGAAAAGTGAGGATTGGTGTGGTGAAGCACTGGGCAAAGAAAATGATGAAGGTCAGACTATGGAAAATAATCCTGAATGTTAATATTGTAAAAATCAAATTATCGCAGAGCCCACCCACCACCAACCCACATGCCTGTGCTACAGTGTCTGTTTCCCCAAAGTCAATGATTGGATTTTATAAATTATTCTGACAATCATAATATCCTGGAAGTATGAAGAGAAAATGCAGAGAAACAGAGCCCTATCATGAGGAATAGTTGATTTCAGAAAGAGAAGAAGGAACTACAATATATCTTTGATAGAAGCCTTCTTCACAAGCTCGATCTCCCCAGCTGGCATGCCAGTGAATTGAAGGTACAATATTATAGACATCTTCAATCTCAGAAAGCAATGGTGAAGAGGATTTAAAGGGAGAACAGAGATGTATAAAAAGAAAATAATAACTGGCATCTCATATTGGCAATATTAATTTGTTTTAAAGTATTCAGTATAACACAATAAACTATAACCTGATATCACTATAAGATAATCATTGGTGGAGATTTAAAACATTAGCAAGTCTATGCAGTACTTGGAGAATTAATTATTCTTATCTTATTACTGGTGCCATTTGTCTGACTTCAAAAATAATAATAATTTGAAACAGGTGACAGGAATGAATTCTGAAGATGGAATGAAGGCAAAGTGTGAGATTCTTCTCTTCATTAGAGTAGGGGTTCTCAAACTATGGCCCGAGGGCCGGATACGACCCTCCAAGGTCATTTACCTGGCCCTCACTCAGGGTCAACCTAAGTCTGAAACGACTTGAAAGCACACGACAACAACAATCCTATCTCATCAGCCAAAAACAGACCCATACTTCCCATTGAAATGCTAATAAGTTTATACTTGCTAAACTTGTTCTTCATTTTAATTATTGTATTGTTCTTAAGTGTTTTTTGCACTACAAATAAGATATGTGCAGTGTACATAGGAATTCATTCATTTTTTTCCCAAATTATATTCCAACAGTTTGAGGGACTGTGACCTGGCCCTCTGTTTAAAAAGTTTGAGGACCCCTGCATAAGAGGTCTAACTTCTCTTACAAAGTTGGCGATAAACTCTATGGAATAGATATATAGAGAATATAATTTTCCATTTTGAAGTTGACAATACTACAAAGTATGAAATAATTTTGATCCTAGCATAACCAATTATTCATCTTGAAAGGTCAAATTAGCTTCCAAGCACAATTCAAAGTGCTGGTCTTGACCTATAAAGCCCTAAACGACTCCGGCCCAGTTTACCTGTCCGAACGGATTCTCCCCTATGAACCATCAAGGTTACTAAGATCTTCCGGAGGGGCCCTGCTCTCGGTCCCACCACCTTCGCAATCGTCTGGTGGGGACGAGGGACAGGGCCTTCTCGGTGGTGGCCCCTCGGCTTTGGAATTCCCTCCCACCAGAAATTAGATCTGCTCCTTCCCTCCTGACCTTTAGAAAGCTAATAAAAACCTGGCTTTGGAATATGGCATTCGATGATTGAGTCAATAACCCTTGTCCACATGGAAGGATGGCGATGAATTGTGACTGTATTTGACGACTTGGCTTGTGTAATGTGATGATGTATTTTATTGTATTTTATATTTTAATGTATAATGATGATGTATTGTGCTGTTTTTTATATTACTGTATATGAACACATGTTGTGAACCGGCCTGAGTCCCTCCTCGGAGGTGAGAAGAACAGTATATAAAACTTCTAAATAAATAAATAAATAAAATCAACACTGTCAATTATGGCATGTGACTGAATGTAGTTACTGGAGGAAGGAGGGAAACATATTCAATATTTCGATAACATTAAAACTGGGTTAAGAAGTAAGAATTTAATGGGGGGGGGGGTCAAAATAAAGATCAATCTCTTTTACTGGTTCTTTGTTCATTCCAGGGGACTACAATGAAAACTCATTTGCAGTTTAGGTTGTGAGCTCAGACTTCCTTCCACACATCCTCCTGCCTGTAACAGCTGCTGGTTCTGAGAAGATCTGGATCTCTTTAAACTCAAAGGAAAGCAATGCCAAAGTTCCCTTGTGAGGTGCAGTGGGGGCACACAAGGGAAGGCGGGTTTGATGGGATGTCCCTACTGCCGGGCTGTGGCTGGGGAACGGGAGGCAAACCTTGCAAGCCACCCTGTAGGGGCAGTTCTCTCCCAGGCCCAGAGGAGGCGATATCACCCGTACTAATTTGTACATATCCTTATACAGGATCCTGCCACTGGAAAGAAAGCACAGGTGGGTTAATAGGGCTACTCAGGAAATGGGAAAGAGGAATCAAGTGCACAACGGTAGCACCAGAAATGTCCATTTTCTCCTTTTATTGCTAGGTAGGAAAATGTTCAAGACAATCGACTCCTGTGAAAACACAGCTACCACCTTCTCCATTCCACTTTGTTCCCAACTCAATAGAATACCTTCTTCTAATCAAGACATATAGAAGTAAAGTAGATTCCAGGACACTTGTGAATAAAAAGGCTATGAAGAGGTTAAAAACGATCTGAGGAAACAATAAGATGCCTACTTGCTGTCTAGGGTCCAACATAAACTATCCTTCACCTGGGAAAAGTCAGGAAATGTTTTTCACAGTCAGCGATTTGAGGGAAATCAATACACTTTAATCTATGGATGTGAGTTGAAGTGCTTACATCGGTTTAATTTAAAACTTTTTGCATATGGAAATCAATGATCAAAGCATTGCTAAAAATCAAAGTAGAGAGTCCAAGCTTGCTTATCTCCACTCTAGGAGAGTTCAACAATTTGCTCTGTTAATATAAAAAGCTATATTGATGTCATTCCATACGTCCTAGTTCTTGATAATCAGATTCAAAATGATCAATATATGGAAAATCTATTTCATGAAGCTGTTCAGGGCAATGAAATAGACCTTGCCAAAAGGAAAATTGAATTGTGTTTTGGCCATGTGCAGGACAGAAGCGAATGATAGTGTGCAAAATTAGTGAAAGCTATGATAACTTGATTTGTAACTGTAGCATTGTTATATCAAAATGCAATTCTTTGTGGGACAATTTGAAGCTACATGATCAAGAAATCTCTCTGTTACAGTTTGAGTCCATAGAAACATCATTAAAATGCTTTAAATGGTTATGTTTATTTCTCTGATATGTGGTAGAGATTACTGCTACAAAAAGTGTAGAAATGCTCTTATTTAAAAATATTGACAGAAGCTGGTTACTTCTGAATATATTGAACATATAGACCTTAGATTTACATAAATAAATAAATAAATAAATAAATAAATAGTTTATATTTTTAAACCTCAGTTCAGTCTTTGAATTGTTTTGACTGTTTCAAAAGTCAGTGGAGTGTCACCCAAGAGCAGGACTGAGAAAATATATTTCCCTTCCATTCTTGCTTGACTTGGACTTTGTATCTAAACAAAATTGTTGAAGCACACAAGAACATAGTGAGCCTACGTACCATGCAGCCCTGTCATACTCTGCCCAGATCCGCACAAATTCATCAAGGTGGTGTGGTCCTAAGATGGAGGAATCTCGAGTCAGGTATTCAAAATTGTCCATGATGACAGCCACAAAGAGATTGAGCATCTAGGCACAGAAGTAACAAGCAGAATGTACAAAGATCAAATAATAAGTAGATATTAGGAGGAAAACTTTGAGAAGACCAATATAGGAAGAAACACACAACAAGCCACTTTTGCAACTCCTTCCAGAGCCACTTTTTTGTCTATGTTGCAGACTGCTCTTGTTATAAGGTTACAATTATTTCAGTAACTAACCACAACCATGACATGATATTATGCTATGCTTTTATCAGTTGAGTAGGTGAAAATCTTTTTTTTTGTCAATTAGCATACTATTATAAAAAGGGGACAAGTCAGTGTTGGCATGGATGTCAACAAAAAGGGTGGTTTATTCATATGATGTGGGAATGCGAATAAGTACAATATTTCTGGCAGACAATACAAAATGTGTCAAACCAAATATTAGGGACTGATTGGGTTATAACAAATGAAATGGCGGTCTTAGTACAAACAGAGGGAATGGGAAATTACAGGGAAATAAAGGAAGCGATAATTGAGTGCACAATAGCAGTTTTTTTTTTGTCGTGTCATGAGCGACTTGAGAAACTGCAAGTCGCTTCTGGTGTGAGAGAATTGGCCGTCTGCAAGGACGTTGCCCAGGGGATGCCTGGATGATTTGATGTTTTATCATCCTTGTGGGAGGCTTCTCTCATGTCCCCGCATGAGGAGCTGGAGTTGATAGAGGGAGCTCATCCACCTCTCCCCGGATTCAAACCTGAGACCTGTCGGTCTTCAGTCCTGCCGGCACAGGGGTTTAACCCACTGCGCCACCGGGGGCTCAGTGATATATTGGGATGGAAAGACAAATCAAAGTGGGCAGTAAATAAATGATATCAATATAAGGTGGACCAAATGGAATTTGAAATTATGGATGTAAAACCAAATGATTCAAAATGTAATGAAAATAGAATGCAAGAAGTTGAAGAAAGATGGAACCGGGTCAAGAATTATATTATGAATAAGTCTAGAGATCAGGCCATAAGAAATAGAATACAAATGTTATACAGTATGTAAATCTAGAAGGATTGTCTCAAAAAGGATTAATATGTAAAAGAAAATAATCCTCATGGTGGTGGTGGGAATTGTAAATGTTGTGTATTTGTATGTCCTATACATATATATATATATACTAGCTGTCCCCTGCCACGGGTTGCTGTGGCCCAGTCTGTTGATCTGGAAAATAAAGTAATGAGAAAGTGTTGGTTTCTAATATATGTAATTTCTTTCTGCTTGTGGGTAAACAGTATTTCTTGTTGTTTCTTTGTCAGTGTTGATGTGGAGATTGTCTGGTTTGCCTACTCTGGAACATGCAACATATCATAGTCCTCCTTAAGGGTCTCTTTCAAATCTATGATACTATATCTGATTTATGTGTGTGAATCATATCTATCTATCATCTATCTATCTTATCTATCTATCTATCTATCTATCTATCTACCATCTATCTATCTCTATCTATCTACCTATCTATCTATCTATCTATCTATCTATCTATCTATGGCTGGATGGCTCTTTGTCAGGAGGGCTTTGATTAGTTTTTCTTGACCTGGTGACGAGAGTTGGACTGCATGGCCTTAAGTATTTTCTGTTGGTCATGGGGGTTCTGTGTGGGAAATTTGCCCCAGTTCTGTCATTGGTGGTTCAGAATGCTCTTTGATTGTAGTGAACTATAAATCCCAGTAACTACAAATCCCAAATGTCAAGGTCTATTCCCCCCAACTCCATCTGTGTTCATATTTGGGCATATGGAATATTCGTGCCAAGTTTGGTCCAGATCCATCATTGTTTGAGTCCACAGTGCTCTCTGGATGTGGGTGAACTACAATTCCCAAACTCAAGGTCAATGTCCACCAAACCCTTCCAGTTTTTTCTGTTGGTCATGGGAGCCCTGTGTGCTAAGTTTGGCCCAATTCCATCATTGGTGGAGTTCAGAATGCTCTTTGATTGTAGGTAAACTATAAATCCCAGCAACGACAATTCCCAAATGACAAAATCAATTTTTTTGAGTGGAGGACATAAATTGGACTGTTAGGTGTCTTGTGTCCAAATTTGGTGTCAATTCCCCCAGTGGTTTTTGAGTTCTGATGGTAGCACAAACGAACATTACATTTTTATTTATATAGATAAGTCTAGAGATCAGGCCATAAGAAATAGAATACAAATGTTATGCAGTATGTAAATCTAGGAGATTTGTCTCCAAAAGGATTAAAATGTGAAAGAAAGTAATCCCCGTAGTGGTGGTGGGTGGGAATTGTAACTGTTGTATTTGTGTATGTGTATGTCCTAAATATATATTATAAATATTATAAATATTTATAATATTTATAAATATTATAATATTATAAATATTATAAATATTATAAATATTATAAATATTATAAATATTATAATATTATTATATATATATTATAAATATATATTATAAATATATATAATTTAGGACATACACATACACAAATACAATATATATATAAAGAGTAGGTGTAAATGGAACCAATACTTTCTTGATTCTACTGTATATTTTATTCCATTAATCCATGTTGGAGCATGATTTGTTAATAAGGCTGGAATGTAGAAGCTAGACAAGGGAGAACTCACCAAAAAAGAGCAGAAGAAGATGAAGGAGACAAAGTAAACATATGCCAGATCTGTGCCGCACTGCTCACTCGCATTTTGTCCAGATGTTGCTGTGGTGTCTGACTCACATCCTTTACCTCCTAGGCATGAAAGCATGATCTCCTGCCATGCCTCCCCCGTAGCACTCCTGCAGGCAAAATAAACCCACCATGCAAGTTTACTGCTTTGCTCAGCAAATTTTCTTTGCATTTCTAATGTCATTGTGTCCAGGATTGGCCTGTGATTGAGTCAGACAGTGGTCAGAAATTCCATTTCAGACATCATATATTGTTATCCAAATAGAATTAGAGGTGGTAGTGGTGATGGAGAGGGGTAAGTAGTCCACGCAAGCACAGTTTGTACTGAGACAAATTTAGCTAATTTACTGAATTACTTTATCAAGATTCCACATGAATGCAGTTGGTGAATAACATTGAACACCAAGCTGGGATATGCAACCATTTTCATAGTCCCTTCCAAATATGCTTCACACACATCTTCCTTATAGTGTTCGTGCAGAACGCCAGGCTTACATCAATGCATCATTGTTAACTCACCAATTTGATTATGTCCAATTAGAAAAGAAAGCAAGGCGGCTAAGTATGATTTCTAATTAGACCCAATCAGATTTTGGAGGAAGGTACATGGGAGCACTGTATCTAATTAGATGTTGTGCATTCTTGTAGGAAAGCTGATTCTCATTTTGGCAGACATTTTCCTGGGTTAATGGGTCATGATGAAGCAGTGGATGGTAACAGAAAGAACATAACAGACTTCTGTTACTTCAGGGAGGGTAAACAGCACATTTTTGTCTACAGATCCTTTTAGTGCCGTTCTGCCTTTTGTAGTAGGCAGGCTTCTGAACATGGCCAAACTTTACATAGGAAAAAGAATGTTCAAACCCAGAAAATGAAGAAAATGGTGGTGCAGGCATGTATAAATTGTAACCCATTGAGCTGGAAGAAGGCCATCAGCCAACTGCTTGCAGAAGTCTAGTTACCTGAAGAGAAGCATGAGAGAACCTAGGAAGCTGCGAAAGTTGTTGTGACGGTTTATGTGACTTTCTTCATCTAATTTGATATTTCCAAAAACCTGAAGACAAAGAAAAATTAACACTCAGTATAGCAGGGATGATGATGCAAAAAATGAAATTAAATGAAGTATTGTGAGAGTAGCAGTTTTCCAACCCAGTTATCTGCAAAGGAATTGTAGTCTCCTTGTATCTCCTGTCTCTGAGGGATCACAAGAGCTCCAAGGCAAAGGGAAATAATTGTGGTTGGTGTAACTGAGATTATAATTTTTCTCCCTACAATTTGGGCTATTTGGAAAAGGGAAATAATTGTAAAGTGAAGAAGGTTTTCATGGCCGGAATCACTGGGTTGTTGTAGGTTTTTTCGGGCTATATGGCCATTCTCTCCTAGGAGAGAATGCCTCCAGAACATGGCCATGTAGCCCAAAAAAACCTACAACAACCCAGAAATAATTGGCTAAGGCAGTTTTAAATTGTGTTATTTTAAATGGTGTATTTTAATATTTAGATAAATGGTTTTCAATGTTTATGTATTGTGGTCCACGGTGTTCCACGCTCTTGTTACATCCTGGATAGATTACTGCAAAGCACTCTACGTGGGGTTGCCTTTAAAGACTGTTCAGAAACTTCAATTAGTCCAGCGGGAGGCAGCCAAACTGCTCACCAGAGCGTCATACAGGGAGCATACCACCCCCTGTTATGTCAGCTCCACTGGCTGCCGATCCAGTTCCGAGCACAATTCAAAGTGCTGGTTTTGACCTACAAAACCCTATTTGGTTCCTGTTGCAATCATCTCCCTTTACGTCCCACCTCGGAGTTGAGATCCTCTGGGGAGGCCCTGCTCTCGCCCCCGCCTCTGTCACAAGTGAGATTGGCGGGGACGAGGAGCAGGGCCTTCTCAGTGGTGGCTCCTCACCTATGGAATTCACTCCCCGGGGAAATTAGATCAGCAACATCCCTCCTTTCCTTCAGAAAGAAATTAAAAACATGGATGTGGGACCAGGCGTTTGGGCAATCTGGCAGATGAATAAAGGACTGTGACGATGGATAGGAATTGGACAAGGTGGAACGAAATATGGACTCTGAGTTGGCGAACGCTGTGTCTGAGATTGGCTATTGATTGTGAGATATATTGTTGTTTTAATTGTTTTAATTGTTGACCATTTAATTGCTGGTTTTATATGTTATTGTATTTGTGTAGGCACCAAGATGTGCCTTTTTGTAAGCCGCCCTGAGTCCCCCCTCGGGGGTTGAGAAGGGCGGGGTAGAAGTATACAAAATAAATAAAATAAATTGTATCCAGGCATTGAATGTTTGCCATGTATATGTTGTGCTCTGCTCTGAGTCCCCTTCGGGGTGAGAAGGGCGGAATATAAGTGTTTTAAATAAATAAATAAATAAATAAATAAATAAATAATTGTGGTTGGTGTAACTGAGATTATAATTTTTCTCCCTACAATTTGAGCAGAATAGCAGAGCTATTGCCACTCATGGTAGGCACATTCTAGACATGGTTAGGTTCGGTCGGAATCTTCGTAATTCGGATTAAATTCGGAAAGATTTGCTTTTTAAAGTGATTTTGAAGTTTTTAAGGAAATCGGAAGTCCCTTTGCCCTTCCGAAGCTTTTCCCGCCATTTCTGTTACAAAGCAGTAAGCAAGTCAGAAATGATCCAGCTTTTCCCTGCTTCTGGGATGGAGCCTGGGCAGAGTCTAAAAACAAACTGGATGTATTTCGTGCCTTTCCTTTCCCTTCGCTACTCGGCTGGAGCCTGGGCAGAGTTTAAAAACAAACTGGATGTATTTCCTGCCTTTGCTCCCCACCCCCTTTCTGGAGTAAAACAACTACTTTCAAAGTAAAGACCACCCAATGAAACAGGAAATAAGGAAGGGTTCGCAAGTCTCAGAAGTTTCAAAAAGTTTCGAACATTTTTTTCTGTGAAAATCATAATTGACTTCCGAACCAAACTACCGGCGCCCCCTTCAACCGAAACGAGTTTTGAACCTTTTCTTTTAATCAAACAAGCCTAGTACATTCATTTCACTTTTACACCTGTTAACCAACTCCATACATTATATATCTAAAAGCTGCACATTCGGCATAACTGGGGAAACATGTGGAATGAAAGAAATGTATGGTGACAACTTTTAGCTCTCCCTGGTTGTATCTGGTTCAGTAAAGCAGACTATGGCAGCTAGATACCAAATGATATTCTTCATAGAAAAAGATAAATTAAATCCTCCACTCTTCTCTTTTTTTTTTTTAAAAAAAATGCAGTATTTCATTTAATCAACATGATGATTGCTAGGGACAGTCTACACATTACATTTTATGTAATAAAACATCAACAGAGCTTCTCTCATTGAAAGGAAACAGTTTGCATAAGAGTATTTGTTGTGGATAATGATGGCCACATTTCAAAGATACCATCAATCAATGGAAAGTTATTTTATTGGCATAATGGATAGGTTTGTAGCTACTTTTAAAAGTTACCTTTAAGGAGTTTTTTCACTGTTATACTATGCACAAATATTTTTTCATGTTTTATGCTCTTCTATCATCAATACTCTGCCCCTCCCTCCAAAAATAACAGAAAGCAAAAGTAATTATTGATGAAATAAGTAATATAAAGTAAAGACTAGAGTTATTGGACCATAATGTGCGGACTGAGTTGGACGATATTTTTAACTTGGTGAATGGTTTTATATGTATTTTAATATTTTTAACCTATTGTTTTATGTATATTGTTTTAAAATGTTATTTATTGCTTAGCATTGAATTTTTGCTGTTAGCCGTTCTGAGTCCCTCCACGGAGGTAGAGAAGAATGGGATATAAAAGTTCTAAATCTTGTTACATCCCGTATAGACTACTGCAACGCACTCTACGTGGGGTTGCCCTTGAAGACTGTTCAGAAACTTCAACTGGTCCAGCGAGCGGCAGCCAGATTGCTTATTGGAGCGACATACAGGGAGCATACCACTCCCCTGCTGTGTCAGCTCCACTGGCTGCTGGTTCAATTCCGGGCACAATTCAAGGTGCTGGTTTTGACCTACAAAACCCTTTACGGTTCCGGTCCAGTGTATCTGTCCGAACGTATCTCCCTCTACGTCCCACCCCGGAATTTGAGATCATCTGGGGAGGCCCTGCTCTCGACCCCACAGCTATCACAAGTGAGGCTGGTGGGGACGAGGAGCAGGGCCTTCTCAGTGGTGGCCCCCCACCTGTGGAACTCACTCCCGGGGGAAATTAGGGCATCAACATCCCTCCTCTCCTTCAGAAGGAAGGTAAAAACATGGTTGTGGGACCAGGCCTTTGGGCAATCTGACATTTAGACATGGCAGCCAGATGGATAGGACTGAAAGGACTGACAATTGTGGAATTGGAATTTGAACTATGAGAATGTGAAACGCTGACCGTCAATGAGGTTTGTTTGGTTTTATTGCTCTTATTAGTTTTATGGTTGTTTTTGCCTATAATAATGATTGTTTCTGTTAATTATGTTATTGCCAGAATTGCTGTTTTTGTTAACTGATGTTATTGTCTTTTGTTGTTATGTGATGCGGGCATCGAATTGTGCCTTGCTTTTGTAAGCCGCCCTGAGTCCCCTCCGGGGTGAGGAGGGCGGGGTAGAAGCAACCGAAATAAATAAATAAATAAATAAATAAATAATATAACAAGTTACTTGTTTTCATGATTATAAAAAAAAATCATGGCAGTGGATTTTTTTTTAAAAGAACTACAACAAAAAATTCACATCCCTCCATATATGCAAGTTTAAGCTTTGCAGTTTTTATTATTTGCAGATGATTTACGCTGCTATATTCCATTTTTAATAGGGATGTTGATAACACCACTATTCATCTTCAGCTGCATTCAAATGAAATCGGGCTTAATCAGCAGTCAAATCTTTGGCTGCTGCAAGGAACAAATTGGTAGGGTGGCTGGTCCTGGCACAGAATGCATTTTCTCATGCATTCACTCATTCGGGTGGGAGACATAGGATTGAGGCAGAGGAATGCGAGAGGAGTGGGTACACACATGCATTTCCTTGTGCACTTGCTCAGGTGTGTAAGGGGATGGGACAGGGAAGTTTGGTGGGGAAAGAAGAGTACACTCATGCATTCCCTTGCTCATTTAACTGCGCAAAGGGGGAAGTAATAGAACAAGGCAGTGCAAGGAAGAAGGATATACATATTCATGCTATTGTGGACTTATTCACTCACATGTTTGAGTGGGTGGCTACAGGTTGGACGTGTGTGTTCCCTTGTATGCTTGCTCAAACAAGTGGGGGTGAGATAGGATAGGAACCATGGGAAAGGAAGGTGCATGCACACATTTGATCAGATGCTCACTCACATAAGTGTGGTGAGGGGAAGAGATGGGGGTAGGAATGTGTATTCCTTCACACAGTCACTCGCTTGAGCAGGGAGACTTGGAGAAAGGGGATATGTTGGGGGAGAATGAGGAGGAAGGATGCATGAGAGTCCCAGTGCAGATTGAGATAGTTTATTTATTTATTTATTTATTTATTTATTTATTGATTGTATTTGTATACTGCCCCTCTCAGCCTTTCGGCGACTCGAGGTGGTTTACAAGGCAAAATTCAATGCCATAGAAACACAAGTACAATATGAAAACATTAACATCAATAAAATCATAACAGTAACAATAAAATATAAATCAATAAATTCTCTTTAAAAACATTGTCCAGTCTCATCATGTAGTTGCTATGATTCCTATGTCCGTTACTCAATATTTGCAAATGCTTGCTCGAATAGCCATGTCTTGAGTTTTTTTCTGAAATGTTATGAGCGAAGAAGCCAATCTGATCTCACTTGGGAGGGTGTTCCATAGCCGAGGGGCCACCACTGAGAAGGCATTGTCCCTTGTCCCCACCAAAAGTACTTGTGATGAAGGTGGGACTGATAGCAGGGCCTCCACAGACGATCTTAAAGTCCTCGATGGTTCATAAGGGGAGATGCATTTGGACAGGAAAGTTGGGCCAGAACCGTTTAGGACAGTGGTTCTCAACCTGTAGGTTCCTTAGATGTTTTGGCCTTCAACTCCCAGAAATCCTAACAGCTGGTAAACTGGCTGGGATTTCTGGGAGTTGTAGGCCAAAACACCTGGGGACCCACAGGTTGAGAACCACTGGTTTAGGGCTTTATAGGCCAAAGCCAGCACTTTGAATTGTGCCCAGAAGCAAACTGGCAGCCAGTGGAGCTGGTGCAACAGGGGGCTTGTATGCTCCCTGAGAGCCACTCCTGTTCGTAACCTGTTAGTTGTGATTTTTATACTTTTGTAGAAACCTTGTGCCCCTAATCTCTAAAAGTTCCCAAAAGTAGCTCTCAACATGAAGTGTATGTTCTGTATGCTGATCTTGTGAAACTTTACTTAGTCCCTTGACATGACAAGAGTGAGATGAGCGGTGTTTCTAAAATTTACTTACCTGCATGCCAATGATTGCATAAATGAAGAAGAGCATCGCAATCAGGAGGCAGACATAAGGAAGAGCCTGAAAGTAGAAAACATTACAAAGGTGTGTTTTATTATATTAGCAACAATTACTAATGTAAAATAAATATATCCTGCTTTTCCTTCATAAAATACAACTAATGAAGGTTGCTGACACAGTGAGACCAAAATATATTAAAGTAATGTCAACATAACGGAAGTGGGTTTTCATTTTTTCTGAAGAATGTTGCGTTTAACTCATTTGCTTTAGCAGAGCTGCACAGCATGGGAAATGTGAGGACTGGTTATCTCTGTCCAGGAAAATCCATAGTTGACACACCAGTTGAAACTGGTGCCAACCACTCTATGACACAGAATCCACCTCGGCCTCCAGTGACATGGATAGATTGAGAAGTACTTCTTAGCTACACACCTGGTCCTTCAGGCAACCCCATCCAATAAAGATTATTTACACAACCCCCAGAGCCAAGAACCACCAATCCACAGAATGCATATCATCAGTATTCAGTTTCAGTTTACTGGATTTCATTTAGCTCACAGCTGCATCTAGGCTCTGCTACAATACCTACAGACTACTCAAGGTACTGAACACCTCCCTAGAAACTCTAAAAGGTGGAGTATCAAATTCTTCAGATGATCAACTTTTTCCTCGAAGTACACAGCAATTATTTCACAGTACGTGGTCATGAGTTGAATAGTTGAACTCTCTAGTGATGTACCCAAAAGGGCTCATCATCACTTGAAATAATAATAATAATAATAATAATAATAATAATTCAAAAAAACGTTATTTATACCCCGCCACCATCTCCCCAAGGGACTCGGAGCGGCTTACACGAGGCCAAGCCCGACAACACATCAATAAAACAAAAAGCAATAAGTAAAAAACAATACAATTAATATAACTCACATATAAACAATAACACACAAGGATTTTTAAAAAATCCTACTGGGTGGGAGGTTGAAGTTGCATTCCTAGTAACACAATATGATTTTTTGGCCTCTCTCATTGCTGCATAGTAGGCACAACTAAGAATCAACTGATTTCTGATTGCATTTGCTCCAAGACCTGTGACATGTACACTTTAGTCATTATTCAGCTGGCTTCACTGCCCACAGGTCTTCTGTAAACCAAGGTGAATTCCAGAATTCACAACACTGGATTAGATATTTAGGAGCAATATTTTGAAAGTCCTCTCCATTTCTTCATTCCATAATAAAATCAAGGCGTTGACAGAATCACCAGCTATGTCAGCTAAAAAAATCCCCCAGAGAATTCAAAAATATTTCAGATTTCATAACTCTCTGGGGCTGACCATTTTAATAGCACCACACATTTCTGCAGGGAGGATCTGCTACCAAATCCTCTGGTAAGGAATTGCACTGTTTTGTGACGTATGAATGAAAATATCTGCAGTTCAGTTTGTGGAGAAGACTGTGGAGACTATGTCTAAACTTGGAAAGTAAACAAGATGTCAAATTTTACCTTGAATGACTGTACAAAAGTCCACAGCAAAATTCGGATGGTGTAACCTTGGCGAAGTAGTTTGATGAGACGGGCAGCTCGGAACAATTTTAGAAAGCTCATGTTGAAGCTGCTGGTATTTACCAGCTATTAAAAATATCAGAACATGAGTGAGAAAAAGAAATGAAGAAACAGTTAAAGAAAAAAAACATCACATCTATCCCCATGCTTTGAACTCTCATGAAGAACAAGGAGGGAGAAGGGAAAGGAGCTTCACCTTGCTATCCGTCAAGATAATCTCGGTAATACTACCAATTACAGTAATGAAATCAAAGATGTTCCAGGTGTCACGGAAATAATTCTGCAAGAAAATGTGAAGAGAGGGGAAGAAAGGGGCAGATTAAACCACATTGTGAACATCCAGATAATAACATCCTGTAGAGATCAAAAACGGCACATACAACTAAGGATGTATCTACACTGTAGAATTAATGCAGTACTTTAGGTGCCATGGCTCAATGTTACAAAATCATGGGAGTTGTATGTAGTTTTCAAAGTGTTCAGCTTTTTCTCCCAAGTCCTAGGATTTCGTATCATTGAGCCATGGGAGTTAAAGTGGTGTCAAACTGCATTAATTCTACAGTATGGATGCTTCCTATTATAGCTGGGTGTACATACAGGGGGAAAGCCTACATTCTCATCAAGTTCAATTAGGGCTGGGATTGATATACTACTGTTACCAAAGAATACAGTGGAATTATGACAAGGCTGGGATTTTTACTCATGACTCATATCCATGAGGTCACAGTCACATTCAACAACCTTAAGAATCCTCATCAACTTCTTTTAACATTGCTTTGTCAGAACTGATCCATCTATTGATGCATTCTTCTCAAATCTGAGTTTTGCTTTCCAGAAGGAATCCGGTGATCAAACATGTTTACCAATATGTTTGATCATAGCTATATAACTCAGTGTCAACCGGACACCTAAAATGCATCTCTCGACTAGGCATGGTTAGTTACCATCGGAATCTTTGTAATTCGGAATAAATTCGGAAAAATTATCTTTTTAAGAAAACTGGAAGTTCCCTTGCCCTTCCAAAGCTCGTCTCACCATTTTTCTTCCGAGTCAGGAAGTGAGTTGGAAGTGACTCAGTGTTTGAAGGAAAGCAGCTTGCATGCTGGGATGCTTGCCTCCCAGCCAATGAGAGGAGAAGTTTTGGGGAGGTTTCAGCACAGCAGTCGCTGTGCTATGTAAAGGGCAGCACATGACTCAGAGGCTCATTGTGAGCCCGGGAAGGGAAGGGGAAAGAGAAAGGGAAGGGAGGTTGTGAAGGGAGGTTGGAAGAAGAGCAGTTGGAAAAGCAGGGCAAGCAAAGAAGGGCTGGGAGCAGGTCTGTTGCCTGCCTGCCTTGTGTGCTTGTGTATTGTTGCTGTTGGGAGGTGGGGGAGAAGAGCAGGGCAGCAGGGAGAAGGGCTGTTGCCTGCCTGGGCTGCCTTGCAGCTGCTTGTGTGTGTTTGCTGTTGGGGTTTGGGACATGTGGGTGACATGTGGGTGGGTAATACTGGGGTATGTGGGTGCAGTTTGTTTCCTCAGTTTGCCTTGTGTTGCCAAATAGTCAAAATATTATCCTTCCTAAAGGTGTGAAATCAACTACAAAAAGCCAAAAAAGGCCTCTCCCTGCTGTTTGTGTCCTTAGTTGCTTTATAATATACCTTACTACTTAAATTACTTAAAAATTTGTCTAAAACCCATAGATTGTCTAAACATGTTGAAATTTAGTATGCTGACAGAGGAAGATGTTTTCTACCACAGTGGCAAGTTTTGTCAGTAGTGGTCTAAAAATGAGGGAGAGAGAATCCCCTGAATTTTGCCCAGTGCCATTTGCTGGTTTTTTTGCGTATTGCGCAATTGCGTCTGCCATTAACAAAGCAATTTGGAAATTTCGGAAAGTTCTGAATTTTTTCGGAAAAATTCGGAATTCCAAATTGAATCACTAGTGTCCCCTACATCTGAAACAAGTTCTGAACTATTTTTTTGGATCAACCAAGCCTACTCTCCACATACCAGATATCTAGAGAGTATATGTATATGCATATAATATTTATTATTTATTATTTATTTATTTACTTTGCTTATATACCGCTGTATCTCAAGCCCGAAGGCGACTCACAGCGGTTCACAAACAGTAAAAACAGTAGAAACAGCAGTGGTTCCATACAACATATAACAATTGACTTAACACATTATCCATAAATTACCAATAAGCAATTACAATGCACAATTATTACAAAAAACAACCGTACCCAATCTTCTCATCATCCAAGCGTAGTCCAGGTTCGTCGTCCATTGTTCCATTCCTATGTTCCATTACCAGATTGCACTAAATTACTCAAACGCCTGCACAAACATCCAGGTCTTCACCTTTTTGTGGAATACCATTAGAGATGGTGCTAGTCTAATGTCCGTAGGAAGGGCGTTCCACAGCCGAGGAGCCACCACCGAGAAGGCCCTATCTCTCGTCCCCGCCAGCCGAGCTTGAGAAGCAGGCGGGATCGAGAGCAGGGCCTCCCCGGAAGATCTCAAACTCCTGGTGGGTTCATAGGCAGAGATGCGGTCAGATAGGTAGCTTGGGCCGGAACCGTTTAGGGCTTTAAAGGCCAACGCCAGCACTTTGAATTCAGCCCGGTAGCAGATCGGTAGCCAGTGGAGTTGGCGCAACAGGGGGGTTGTATGCTCCCTGCGCTCCGCTACTGTTAAAATCATGGCTGCCGAGCGTTGGACTAGTTCAGGGGTAGGGAACCTTTGGCCCTCCAGCTGTGGTGGACTTCAACTCCCACAATTCCTTGAGGCTCGGCATTCGCCCCAAAGGCTTACCTTGGCCCAATGCCGAGCCTCAAGGAATTGTGGGAGTTGAAGTCCACCACAGCTGGAGGGCCAAAGGTTCCCTACCCCTGGACTAGTTGGAGCTTCCGAGCTGTCTTCAAAGGCAACCCCACGTAGAGAGCGTTGCAGTAGTCTAAACGGGATGTAACCAGAGCGTGGACTACCGTGGCCAAGTCAGGCTTCCCAAGGTACGGGCGCAGCTGGCGCACAAGCTTTAGCATTATATTGCATTACATTACAATATTTATAATATTGTAATGTAATGCAATATACTACTACTAATAATAATATTATAATTATATATTTATATTACATGTAATATTACTAATAATATTACAGTATAATTGATATAGTGCAATATAGCAATATTTAAAACTGATATTGTACTATGTTAATAATATATTGTATGTATATATACCTTGTAAGCCGCTCTGAGTCCCCTTCGGGATGAGAAGGGCGGCATATAAATGTCGTAAATAAATAAATAAATAAATAAATAAATAGAGAGTCAAATGGCTGCTTGATCTATTGTATCTTTCCTCCAAATTAGCGAGCACATAAACATGATGGAGATATCTTGATCTGACCTAGTAAGGCATTTTACTAGGAGCAAACTAGATTTCCAATAACTGGAAAGTTAACATGCAACCCAAAGTACTCTGAAACTTACCAGAAATCCAAAGGCTATAATTTTCAGGACACATTCTAGTGAGAAAACCATGGTAAAAGCAATGTTCAGGTACTTCAGAGCCAGTTCATAGGTGTAGGGAGCAGAATAGTACTGCCAAAAAGAGAGAAGGGGGAGGCATAATAGTCTGAACTCCATTTGCACCAATATAACAACCCAAACATTTGCCACTGTTTTACACATTCTCATTAGAAATGAATGTGTTACATTCATTTAACAACAGATATTCGTCATATTATGGAGGGTTTACAAACAAAAACAGATTGTCTTCTCATTTGGAGTAACATTATCCATTCTGGTTAGAGATAACTGCTAGAGTCCCACCTTTTATTTTTCTCAATACACTATAGATTGGTATGTTGAAGCTGTTTTGTATGTAAGGTGTAACAAGTCAGAAAAGTCAATGCAATTAACAGTTACCTAATAATGGTAGCACAGAAAGGAAATAATTGCTATACAAGTTTTCCATGAGTCTAAAATACCGTATATTCCGGCATATAAGACGACTGGGTGTATAAGATGACCCCCCAACTTTTCCAGTTAAAATATAGAGTTTGGGATATATATGTCGTATAAGACTACCCCTCTTCCAACACACACCAAATAAAAAATTTAAAAGCATCAGATTTGATTTCAATGTGGTAATTTTCCTATTACTGTACCTCCTTCTCTGCCTCTCAGATCTCGCACATGCGCACCTGCACCACTTCACTGCAGTCTTCAGGAGCAAAATCTGAGAGGCAGAGGAGGAGGTACGGTAATAGGATACAAGGGAGGGCCAGACAGGTAAAAGAGTTGTGTTTTTCTGGGCCCAGAGTCACTCTCTCTTTTTTCCATACCCCGGGCACCACGGAAGCCTGCAGCTTGCTCCACCCTTCACTTCCACCTTCCCGGTGAGGCGTCCCTTCACCTCCCCATCGGGACAGCATTAAGTCCACAAATCCTGATGAATGGATTTTCTTCTACCACACTTGTACAGCGTCGCCCTTAATGGTTTCATACAGTCACCGCATATGGCAGGGATGCGGCCACTACCATTTTTGAGCTTCCCCCATAATATGCAGCAACCACAGATTCTCCAATCCAGAAACCCGCTCTATACGACGACTCCCAGTGTATAAGACTGCTCCCGCATATAAGACAACTCCCATGCATAAGGCTACTCCAGCGTATAAGACAACTCCTGTGTATAATACTACTCCTGCGTATAAGACAACCCCTGACTTTTGAGAAGATTTTCTTGAGTGAAAAAGTAGTTTTATACACCAGAAGATACTGTAGATCAGTGTTTCCCAACCTGGGGGTCGGGACCCCTGAGGGGTCGTGAGAGGGTGTCAAATGGTTCGCCAAAGACCATCAGAAAACATAGTATTTTCTATTGGTCATTGGGATTCTGTGTGGGAAGTTTGACCCAATTCTATTGTTGGCCGACTTCAGAATGCTCTTTGATTGTAGGCGGACTGTAAATCCCAACAACTACAATTCCCAAATGTCAAGGCCTATTTTCCCAGACTCCACCAGTGTTTACATTTGGGCATATTGAGTATTCGTGCCAAGTTTGGTCCAGATCCATCATTGCATGAATCCACAGCACTCCTCTGGATATAGGTGAACTACAACTCCCAAACTCAAGGTCAATGCCTACAAAACCCTTCCAGTGTTTTCTGTTGGTCATGGTAGTTCTGTGTGCCAAGTTCGGTTTAAATCCATCGCTGGTGAAATTCAGAATGCTCTTTGATTATAGATGAACTATAAATCCCAGCAACTTCAACTCCCAAATTACAAAACCAATCTCCACCCCCCCCCCCCCCCCCCCCCCCCCCCCCCCCCCCCCCCCAACCCCACTGGCATTCACATTAGGGCATATTGGGTATTTGTGCTCAATTTAGTAAAATGAGAGGTATCAAGTAGCAATGAAAACAATATTATGGTTGGGGGTCACCACAACATATGGAACTGCATTAAGGGGTCACGACATTAGCAAGGTTGAGAACCACTGCTGTAGATATTATTTGGTGTCTGATGGGAAATTCTGGTAAAAGTGGAGGTTCAAAGTAGGGTATGTGATATATTTGTGTCATCAGGCTCTTAATACATTTGCCTAAATAAGTAGAAAGCCTTAAAGAGCACAAGAAATCAAGATTTTCAAGAACTACATAACCAACCTGGATCTATAACTAATTATGGCTTCTTGTCAACCATTAATTACATTCATATGCTACATTTAAAGTATATCACTCCCTATCTAAAACATAACACATGGGTTAGCCTTTATGTGCATTTCTAAGTGACAAGATGTCACGGCTCAGTTGTTGTTCATTCGTTCAGTCGTCTCTGACTCTTCGTGACCTCATGGACCAGCCCACGCCAGAGCTCCCTGTCGGCCGTCACCACCCCCAGCTCCTTCAAGGTCAGTCCAGTCACTTCAAGGATGCCATCAATCCATCTTGCCCTTGGTCGGCCCCTCTTCCTTTTGCCTTCCACTTTCCCCAGCATAATTGTCTTCTCTAGGCTTTCCTGTCTCCTCATGATGTGGCCAAAGTACTTCAGCTTTGCCTCTAGTATCCTTCCCTCCAGTGAGCAGCTGGGCTTTATTTCCTGGAGGATGGACTGGTTGGATCTTCTCGCAGTCCAAGGCACTCTCAGAACTTTCCTCCAACACCACAGTTCAAAAGCATCTATCTTCCTGCGCTCAGCCTTCCCTAAGGTCCAGCTCTCACATCCGTAGGTTACTACAGGGAATACCATGGCTTTGACTAGATCTTTGTTGCCAGTCTGATGTCTCTACTCTTTACTATTTTATCGAGACTGGACATTGCTCTCCTCCCAAGAAGTAAGCGTCTTCTGATTTCCTGGCCACAGTCTGCATCTGCAGTAATCTTTGCACCTAGAAATACAATGCTCAGTGGTAGAGCATTTTTTGCAGAAAATTATTCTTACTCTAGAGCAGTGGTTCTCAACTTGTAGGTCCCCAGGTGTTTTGGCTTACAACTTCCAGAAATCCCAGGCAGTTTACCAGCTGTAAGGATTGCTGAGTGTTGAAGGCCAAAACATCTGGGGACCCACAGATTGAGAACCACTGCTTTGTTACTAGTTTTAGTAACAAAGTTACCAAGCCTAGCAACTGCCTTGTATGCCCAATAGTTTTGTAGCACAAGTGGGGTAGATGTCACCATACCATCTACTATGGTGAGGTATAGGCAGGCATGTATCTTGACCTGGGTACTTATGAAAACGTCTTTTAAAAATGGCTAAACCAGAACAATTAAAATGAAACACAGCAACAGATCCAGATGCAGAAAGCTCAAGGCAGCAAGATATTCCTTTGTATTTCTGAAGTCATATGTTCTTCACACGGTGACAATATGAATGTGAGTTGTGACCTAGTTACCATTAATGTTGAGAACACCAGCCTGCTACACTGTCAACATCTGAGTATGTATTAGGCCAAAGGTAATGTCATTCATATTTGTAGACATATTGCTTAAATGTATAGTTTCTTATTTATTTATTTATCATATCAGGAGTGAACCAAACAGTTATATTGCATTAAAACAAACAAAACACAAAGTTTGCAAACTCGGCATTCTATTAAATGTCCACACTGCCATATATTCCAGTTCAAAGTAGATATTGTCGGATTTTCAGCCTTATTTATTTATTTATCGTGTCAGGAGCAACCAGGCAGTTGTATTACATTTTTAACAAAACAAACAAACAAACAAAACACAAAGTTTGCAAACTTGGCATTCTATTAAATGTCCTTTGACCAGTAGCTGGCCACTTGGAGTGCCTTTGGTGTTGCTATAAGAAGGTCCTCCATTGTGCATGTAGCAGGGCTCAGGTTGCATTGCAGTAGGTGATCTGTGGTGTGCTCTTCTCCACACTCGCATGTCATGGATTCCACTTTGTAGCCCCATTTCTTGAGGAGGGCTCTGCATCTCGTGGTGCCAGAGCGCAGTCTGTTCAGCGCCTTCCAAGTCGCCCAGTTTTCTGTGTGCCCAGGAGGGAGTCTCTCATTAAGCATCAGCCATTGATTGAGGTTCTGGGTTTTAGCCTGCCACTTTTGGACTCTCACTTGCTGGGGTGTTCCAGCGAGTGTCTCTGTAGATCTTAGAAAACTACTTCTTGATTTAAGTCGTTGGTGTGTTGGCTGATATCCGAACAAGGGATGGGCCAGAGATGTCACTGCCTTGGTAATTTCACTAGTTGTTGCTAGTTCCTAACCGATGTCAGGTGGGACAACAGTGGCTAAACAGTGTAATTTCTCCATTGTTGTAGGGTGCAGATCCCTGTATAGTTTCTCATGACAATAATTAAATACAGGTATTGGGTTTGTCTTGGGTCCCCTTTTAGCTCAGCTTAGGCACCCTAGGAGACTGCCTGCCTCTCCAACCCATGATTATAAGCCATCTTCAAACATTCAACCAATTTGTTTATAGCCTATTTATAACTGAGAATTTGGATCAGAATGAAAGAGAGTGAACTTCCCATATGACAGTTATATTTAAAATGTTCGGACTGGATCACACCATTGAAATTACTGGCAAACCTTTAAATAGCACCCGAAATCCATCTTACCTTCATCATTAGAACTATAGTATTTAGTGCTATCATGGCCATGATGGTATATTCAAATGATGGAGAGACCACAAAGTGCCAGACTCTGTATTGAAAAGTGTGTCGGTTTTGAGGCATGTAGCGGGTGAGGGGTTTAGCACTAATAGCAAAGTCAATGCACGCTCTCTGGAAAAGAGAAAAAAGGAAGAAAGCGATAGAATCTGTCAACTGGTGTACATATTATTGCTAGTTATTACATATAGTGCACTGAGTGGGTTACAGAAGGATAGTATGATATTCATGTTTAAGTGACTAATTATGTATATAGACAAGGAATACAAGGGAGAGAAAATAATTATAGACTGAATACACGCATGTAGAATAATTCATATTTATCTTGATCCCAATCCTCTTTGAACACATGATGTTCTTCTGATTCAAAATGAAAGCAGTTCCTTTCCTTGTCTAAGGGCTTTAATGTACTGTATTTTCCGGCGTATAAGACGACTGGGCATATAAGACGATCCCCAACTTTTCCAGTTACAATATAGAGTTTGGGATATGCTCGCCGTATAAGACTACCCCTTTTCCAACACACACCAAATAAACATTTTAAAAACATCAGAATTGATTTCAATATGGTAATTTTCCTATTACTGTACATCCTTCTCTGCCTCTCAACTGTACATCCTTCTCTGCCTCTCAGATCTCACACATGCACGCCTGTGTCGCTTCACTGCAGTCCTCAGAAGCGAGACCTGAGAGGGGACGAGGTGGGGACGAGGGGCAGGGCCTTCTTGGTGGTGGCCCCTCGACTCTGGAACTCACTCCCCAGGGACATCAGACATGCCCCAATGCTGGCAGTTTTTAGGAGGAGCCTGAAAACGTGGTTGTTCCAGTGTGCCTTCCCAGAATAAGGAAAACTCTTAGCAATATGTCCTCAAATGCACTTTAATATTGATTCAGGGTTGTCTGCGCGCCCCCATCTTTCTCTGAAAACCCTATTTTAATTTGTCTTACTTTGTTCATGCCTAGCACTTTTTGATTTTAAATTTGAATTATTACATTTGGCCCGGCCATAGGCTTTTAAATGCTATATGTTGCGATATGTTATTGTTATTGCTTATTGTGTATTTTCTGTTTTGAGTTTATTTTAGCTGTTTTGTATTGATTATTGTTATTGCTTTTGTTTATTGGATGTGTTGTGGGCTTGGCCTCATGTAAGCCGCACCGAGTCCCTTGGGGAGATGGTAGTGGGGTACAAATAAAGTTATTATTATTATTATTATTATTATTATTATTATTATTATTATTATTATTAGAGGCAGAGGTACAGTAATAGGATACAAGGTGGGCCAGATGGGTGAAAGAAGTGTGTTTTTCTGGGCACAGCGCCACTCTATGTCTTTTTTCCATACTCCGGGCATCCCGAAGCCCTGTAGCTTGCTCCGTCCTTCACTTACACCTTCCCCGTGAGGCGCCCCCCCTCACCTCGTCATCGGGACTGCGTTAAGTCACTTCTTTCCACAAATCCCAGTGAGTGGATTTTCTTCTACCATTCTTCTACTTACTTTTTTATTTTTTTATTGTATTTGTACACCGCTTTTCTCACCCCGAGGGGGACTCAAAGAGGTTTACACATAAGTAATGGCAAAATTCAATGCCAGTACAAACAATTACAATTCTACACTACAATTAGCCATAAATCAAGTTAAAAACAATACACCCACAAGCAATAAAACATTAAAACAATAAAACAGTCTTGTCCGTCAAATCGCCATTCAAGTCATTGTCTTTCTAAAATGCTGCATACATTTACTTTTACTGCCCAAAGGCCTGGTCCCAAAACCATGATTTTAATTTTTTCCTAAAAGCCTGGAGGGAGGGAGCAGATCTCACCTCATTTGGGAGTGTTTTCCATAGGCGAGGGGCCACAGCCGAGAAGGCCCTGTCTCTCGTCCCTGCCAGACACATCTGTGCTGTTGACGGGAGTGAGAGCAGGGCCTCCCCGGATGATCTTAGATTACGAGGTGGAACGTAGGGATGGATGCGTCCAGACAAGTAAGCTGGGCCAGAACGGTATAGAGCTTTATAGGTCAAAACCAGCACTTTGAATTGGGCTTGGAGATGGACCAGCAGCCAGTGGAGCTGGCATAGCAGGGGGATGGTACTTGTACAGCGCCACCCTTGCTGCATTCATGTGGTCACCGCATATGGCGGGGATGTGGCCACGGCCGTTTTTGAGCTTCCCCCAACATATGGGGCAACCGCAGATTCTCCACTCTGATTTGGAAATTTCAGCACCAACCCTATAAGATGACACCTGGTGTATAAGACGGCCCCTGACTTTTGAGAAGATTTTCATGGGTTAAAAATAGTCTTTATACACCAGAAAATACAATATTTTTTAAAATCCTTTATACTTCTAATTGTTATGAAAAAAACTGTAGATTTGGGTGAAATTGAGGGTTGGATGGTTGTAGAGCAGAACAGGTTGGTGGGCATTGAGCTTAGCATCCTCACCCGACAAACATGGCGCTACCATTTTGTCTGTTCAGTATGTGCACGGAGATATTATATTAACATATCAAATTTCTGAGATTCTCTGCTTGCTGGTGTATTGGGATTACATTTTATTAAATATATTTTAATTAATTTTAATTTAACACAGTTGTCCCTCCATAATTGCAGGGATTAGTAGGCAGGGATTACTGCCCTACACTATCTTATTATTTATTTATTTTATTTGGTACACTTGTATACCGCTAATTTCTCAGCCTAGAACGGCGACTCAATTGCGGTTTACAGCATTTTAAAAACAATCTCAGTTTAAAAAACATATACAAATACAATAACAAATTATTGGGCCACCAATAATAATCCCATATATCTCAAGTTAAAATCACAATCCAGAGTTCGTTGTCCATATTTCCTGTCCATAGTCACCAAGATTCGATTTAATTGCCACAGATTAGCCGAATGCTTGTTTGAATAACCATGTTTTGAGTCTCTTCCTAAACACCATCAGCGACGAGGCTGATCGTACCTCTATAGGGAGGGCGTTCCAAAGCCGAGGGGCCACCACAGAGAAGGCCCTATCTCTCGTTCCCGCCAGCCGCACTTCTGAAGCTGGAGGGATAGAGAGAGAAGGGACTCTCCGGAAGATCTTAGGGTCCTGGTGGGCTGATAGGCTGAGATACGTTCGGATAGATAAGTTGGGCCAGAACCGTTTAGGGCTTTAAAGGCCAACGCCAGCACCTTGAATTGAGCCCGGTAGCATATCGGCAGCCAGTGGAGCTGGTTCAGCAAGGGAGTTGTATGCTCCCTGCGATCAGCTCCTGTTAAAAACATGGCTGCCGCCCGTTGGACTAACTGGAGCTTCCGGACTGTCTTCAAAGGCAACCCCACGTAGAGAGCGTTGCAGTAATCAAGGCGGGATGTAACCATTAGATAGTTTAATTACACTGGTGTTTATCTGTATTCAGTGAAGTCAGGCTTAGTCAGTGGTAAACATTTTTGGGGATGAAATCAAACTAGCGAGATGATGAGAGACTATTCTCTCTAAGGCCGAGATGCAGGGAAATGGATGGACAGGAAGAATAGGACAAAGGAAGGCTGGTGGTCACAGACTGGGGAGGACAGAGGGAGCCAGACGAGGGGAGGGGAGGGGGAAAGCCACCTTTATAGGAGCAGCCACTGCCTTTGTAGGCCATGATGGATTTGGGCATAATAGGGGCATATAAAATTCAACCTCAGATATGCAGATGACACCACTCTGATGGCTGAAAGTGAGGAGGAGCTGAGGAGCCTTCTAATCAAGGTGAAAGAAGAAAGCGCAAAAGCTGGGTTGCAGCTAAACATCAAAAAAACCAAGATTATGGCAACAAGAATGATTGACAACTGGAAAATAGAGGGAGAAAAGGTGGAGGCCGTGACAGACTTTGTATTTCTAGGCGCAAAGATTACTGCAGATGCAGACTGTGGCCAGGAAATCAGAAGACGCTTACTTCTTGGGAGGAGAGCAATGTCCAGTCTCGATAAAATAGTAAAGAGTAGAGACATCAGACTGGCAACAAAGATCCGCCTAGTCAAAGCTATGGTATTCCCTGTAGTAACCTACGGATGTGAGAGCTGGACCTTAGGGAAGGCTGAGCGAAGGAAGATCGATGCTTTTGAGCTGTGGTGTTGGAGGAAAGTTCTGAGAGTGCCTTGGACTGCGAGAAGAACCAACCAGTCCATCCTCCAGGAAATAAAGCCCGACTGCTCACTGGAGGGAAGGATACTAGAGACAAAGTTGAAGTACTTTGGCCACATCATGAGGAGACAGCAAAGCCTAGAGAAGACAATTATGCTGGGGAAAGTGGAAGGCAAAAGGAAGAGGGGCCGACCAAGGGCAAGATGGATGGATGGCATCCTTGAAGTGACTGGACTGACCCTGAAGGAGCTGGGGGTGGTGACGGCCGACAGGGAGCTCTGGCGTGGGCTGGTCCATGAGGTCACGAAGAGTCGGAGACGACTGAACGAATGAACAACAATAAAATTCTGATTAAGACCAGATCCCTTGAGGAGATCACCATAGAAGCAGCTGTCAGCGCTCCTACCTGCTTCTCTTGCAACATTGGCATCAATGGGTTTGGGCTTAATAAGAGACACGCACAGGATGCTCTGCATGCAACTACTGTGATTTCAAAGTGTGTTTTCATTTGCACACAGAAATGCAGAGCTTTCTCTCCCATAGGCAATGATAGATTGGAACATGCATATGTAAAGAAATAGAGCAGTGGCTGCAAGCTTTTGCAAACAAAGCTCAGCAGAGCTTCAAAGCTGCAGGAGAGAAACAGATCGATTGGGGGAAACAGGTGATGGGTTGAAATCCCCTTCTATCCTCTCATCCTGCTGTCTCCACACACATCATACACAGAGGATGAAGAGGGCCTTGTGAGGTTACACACAAAAAGGAGAAGAGAAAGGGGTAAAGGAGACATCCCAGGGAGTGCAGGTTGGTGGTAAGATTAACAGAAAAACAAGATGGATTTGGGTATGTTAATATATGTATATCTGTATGCTGACCATGAAGAAGGAAACTGTGCTTGTATGGCCTAAAATAATCTGATATAATGAATGTATGAGCATGGGTAGAAATATTATTGTCTACTGATGTGAGTAGGTGGGGAAAAAGTGGGGAT